GTCATGATCCACAAAATCGAAAGCCTTTGCGCGTAATCAATAAAGCACAGGTAAACATCTTTCTGGTATTCTTTGCTTTCAGCCAAGATCTATTAGCCATCAGCAATGATATCCCTCATTCCACATCCTGTTCTGAATCCAGCTTGAACCTCTGAAAGTTCTCTGTTAATGAATGTATGCTTGCAGCCATTTCTGTATTACCTTTAGTAAAACTTTACTCGCATGGGATATCAAAGATACTGAGTTCTAACTATATTTCGGTAAGAGAGAAAAAAAAGATATGAAGCTTAAATAAATGAGCATAAGGGAAGAACAAAGCACCACTGTGCTAAATCTTATCATTTAGAACAGAAATAAAAACAGACACAAATAACAGTATTTGTGGTTTAGTAGGAAAAGGACACATCACAGAGAAGTTATATTAGAAAATAAATCACAATAATATAAAGCACAGGAGTCCTGGTATGGATAAGCTCTGGATTGCTAACCCCATTGTGATCTTTAGATTCCCTGAAAGAGAGACAGTAACTTGTTTCCTGCACTGCTCACAGGAGGACAAATAAAGATTCCTACTGAGGTTCTAGTTCATCTATGTACAGGTTTGTTACCAATAAAACGTGTCAACATGGCTCTGCCATCAGTGGACGGCTGCAACACGTTCTCTCAATAATACACTTGTCTTAGTCTCATTAGGGTGCCTTCGAAAAAATAAAAAAAGAAGCCCAGTGGCTCTGCTGGTCAGTAAAATTCTAGGCAGAGAGGTCAGCTCAGAAGGTTATGGAAACTTTATTAACATTCCAAAGGAGTAATCATGAGAGATTTTCTCAAAGGACAATCTTGAGGGCTTATTATGGAGTTTTTACAAAATTGAAAACTGGGAAGGGGGAGTACAAATTATTCAAGGGTTACAGGGTTCACATGGGTGACAGGCCTAGGCGATATACAACAAGAGAAAGGTTGGCAGAGGAAAGATGAAGTTATGGGGAGACAGGAGGAATACAAGAGTAAAAGGAAACAGAGGTTAAATACTATTAATGGTGGTACATCATGGATAGGATTGCAATCATTGTAATGAAGCAGAGTATAGGGATTTATTGAATGTAAAATGGATTGTCTGCTCTGTAAACCTTCACTCAATTCACAATAAGAAGTTTAGGAAAAAAGATTACAGACAAGAAAAAAGCCTCTCTGTAAGTGTGCTTGAGTCCCACTGTGTTTAGTGCGCTGGACTGTAAAGTCGCTTCCAGTTCATCAGATGCTCCTTGGAAATCCTATGGTCACTATGGGATGGAGCTGACTGGACAGCACTTTAACAAATAAGTATGCTTACTATCAAGAAAGAAAAAAAAAAGTTATTCTGACCTTTTAATTGTCAGCTTGGTTGTTGCAGTTAAATGCTGTTGAGTCAGTTCCGACTCATAGCGGCCCTGTATAGGATTTCTGAGGAGTGGCTAGCGGGGCTGAACTGCTGACTTTGTGGTTCAAACCTACAGTCCAGTGCTTATCCTACAATGCTACACCAGGGCTAGCTAGGCATTATAAATTAATAGAAAAAAAAAACTACATTGTTTAGATTATTGTATTTACCACTTTTATGCCAACCAGTGCATGAAAATTTCAGAGTATATGCATGTATGCCAATGTAGTTAATACATACTTCACTTAGCTCTTCATAGTATTTATATATTATGGATGCTTAATAATATGGATGCTTAATAAAAGTCATGTTAATAATTTTAGGTTATTTACAATCCATTCCATAGACTCCTTGCTAAAATGTTTAATCTTTCTTATATATATTTCCCAAATTGTCCAAACTTTCTTGGAAATATATATAAAGCCAATAAAAATTCCGTTTAATCTTTAGCTAAGAAAAGCATAATGTGTTAAGTGCCACTGAGTCAGTTCCAACTCAAAGCACCCCTGTATAGGGTTTTCAAAGAGCAGCTGATAAATTTGAGCCACCAACCTTGCGAAAGCATAATTAGTAACATAAATTTTCTGATCTCTATAAAAGGTCTTATTTATTCAAAACCCAGATAACAATTTTGTGTTTGAAGTAACCAAGGTGCCCTTTATAATTTATCTAGTTTCTACTAAGACTAAATAAAAAGAAAATCATGAAAAAATTTGAAATATGCATTGGAGAGAAAACGGTCAAGAAAGTTACACCAAGGAATTCTTTCCCGTTATGACAGTGCATCTTCTTCGAGGTTAACAAGGGCTGTTTGATTGAGAATTTATTTAGAACATCTTACCCCACCCACCCGACAACCCTAATCGTGTCCCATTCAGACTTTTTAGTTCCCAAACTCAAAGAACATTGGGAAGGAACATGGTTTCAGTTCCTCAAAGATGCCAAATATGTATGTCATAGTGCAAGCAAATGCAATAGTACAGAATTTGCGGGAGAAGGTTAGAGAGATGGAAACAACACCTTCATAAGTTTACAGACCTAGATGGAGGACTTGTTGAGAAATAATAGCTTCAAATTTTGTAACAGAAGTTTCTATGATTTTGCAGCAATACTACCTGGTGTGGCACTGCAGGTTAACACACTAGACTGCAAATTCAGTTTGAACTGCAAGGCCGGCAGCTCAAACTCATCAGATGCTCCTTGGAAATCCTGTACAGGGTCATATGGGTCGGAACTTACTAGATGGCACTTAACTGATGAACTTCTCATATTCTGGTGGCAAATTGGTGCCACCAATCCTATCGAACATAGAGTTCCATTTTAACAGAAGCCTTGAACATTAGTAAGTTTATCCCAAAGAACTTGAACTGCTGCTATTTCCAAGGATAAACATAAAAGACACCAGTGACTTTATCAATCAACTTTCTAAAAGACACCAGTGACTTTAACAATCAACTTTCTACCCCTGTGGTTCTATTTTCAGTCGAGCAAAAGATAGAAGTCTACAGAGGGAACAAAAACATCAGTGAAGTATGCACACCATAGATGGTCAACCATGTGAGATCAAAAGGGCAGCAGTGACTTAAGCACAAAATTTAAAAAGGTTGAGAAAGAATGATGGAATGCAAACAGGAACCATAGGGAGGAAGTGGGATAAGTGCTGTTTCATTGAGGGGCTTGCAGTCACTGAGAAGATATCGAGTATACGATTTCTTAAATGTAAAACTGATAAATCTCTATTCAACTTCACTAAATTCACAATAAAAAGCTTAAAAAAGAAACAGACTTTCTAATGAGAAAAAAGAATAGCTTGTTATATATTTCTGTATGTCACATCCGTTTATTAAGGAGCTCTTGTATCGTAGTGGTTACATGTAGGGCCGCTAACCTCAAGGTTAGCATTTCAAAACTACCAGCTGTTTCACGGGAGAAAGATGATGTTTTCTGCTCCCGTCAAGATTTATAGCCTCGGAAACACTACACAGGGTTGCTGTAAGTCAGAACCGACTCCACAGCATATAACCACCACCACACCATTATCAGTTTATTAGCATGATTTTATCTGTCCCAAACAAATTACACAGCTCAGACCAAAGAAGCAAGAACGAAGTCTATCAAAGGACTAACACAGTGCTAGTGACAACACGAGGAAACAGTCAGCCTCGATCCCATGCAGGGACGGCACTCAAGACTATTCTAACATAATTGGCCATCTAGTTTCTCAGCACACCACAAGTTAGAAAACATGGAAAGCAGAAAACTACTGTGTTGACAAATGATCTAACAAGAGGAAGGAGTCTTATAAAAAAAGAAGACTCATAAAATCGTACAATCAAAAATAAATTTAAAAAGCAGAACTGGCAAGGTTTTATTTAGACTAGGGACAATCTAAGACTTCAACTGCCTCTGATATATCATATTTTAACACAGTGCATCATTAATATGGCTCCTACTGTGGTTTATAAAGAATAAATTCTTTAACAATTTATGTTAAAATAAATTATCCTTAAGTTGATTGTTTTTAACCTTGAATTTTCTGACTTGGAAGGCATTTGTATTTTAGTTAACAAGACCAAAGGTGATTCTGATGAACATCTAGAATTGAGAATCACAATACTGATATTCTATTTTTAAAAATCTCATAACTTTATTGTTTCATGACCCAATTATTTTCCACTTTGAAATTTTTTGTTGATCCTGTGTTCTGTAGTCTTTGTATGGTGCTGTAGGATAAGCACTGGATTGCTATCTGAAAAGTCAGTGGTTCAAACCCACTAGCCACTCCTTGGAAAGTCTATACAGGATCACTAAGACTCGATGGCAGTTAACAGACACATGTGCTCTCATTAGTGGAAGGCAAGCTGAATTTAGCATTTCTGAAATTGTGTTACGAAATGTGATTTTAATTATGTGGAACACAGATGGACTCTGAGGATAGGATTATATGGGGCATACTAGTTACTCTGAACTCTAGGAGTGAAACTACACAAAACATATATGTCCTTTTGGACTCAGCACTACTTTCTAGATCCTTTGACGTGTGCATACAATCTTGTTGTTCAGTGCCGTCGAGTTGGTTCCTACTCAACAGCGACCCTGTATATAGGGTTTCCGAGGATCAGCTGGTGGATCGAACTGCTGATCTTATGGTTCATATCAACCTTGCAGTCCAGTGTTTATCCTATAGCCACACACCGAATTCTGCATACAATCTAGGGTGCCTGAAAATGCGGTATTCGTGAAACATGGATTTACCAAGAGGAAGGCACTTCCCAAGATCATACAGGAACTTGAAAACAGGCTTACAAAGCTTATCCTCAGTTAAAGGAAAAAAAAAAAGGAAAGGTTTTGCAAAATTAGACCTCCAGGACCAGTCACTTGCAGCACACACCCATTTCTTCAGGTTTAAACAGTTATTCAGGTCCCCTTCTTGATGGCTTCATTCACTGCCAGTGCTGTCCAATAAACTCCAGAGGACAGAAATGTAGATGGCTCACGAAAGGCTAGAATATAGTCTGGGCACCAAATTCCCTCCACACACTAGAATCGCCCAAACAAAATACTTACTTACACTTACACTCACCTTTCTGAAAAATCAGAGTCTATAAATTCTCTAGCCCGTTTTCTATCACTAAAAAGAAAAAAGATAGCATAAAAGAACACATATAAACACAACTTTCTTTCATGAATAATTTATTATAAATTCTCTAATTCCACATTGAACACATCCAAACACAAAACCCAACAATTGTAAGTGACATATAAAATAAAGGAAAAACATAATTCCATCTTGGGGCCAAGAACTCACAACACAATACTGTCATAGGTAGAACTGAGCTCCATGAATCTTCAGAGAGGAAAACACTGCAGATTTACAAAGCAGAAGACAGAAAGTTTGTGTTCACTCTGACAGGAGTGATTACAAAAGCTCAGGACAATCTGGCCACTCCCAATATAAAGCACAGCCCAGATGAAAAATATCCACACTCTGGTCACCTCTGGGTCAACGCTGCTGGTATAGGCTTAGTTCTCACATCATAGTCTTTCAAGGTTGTGCTGAAATATATCTGCTATATGTACATGAGAATTTTTATGACAACTGAATAAAAACCACGCACGGTATTATAGGTAATCCTGTGTTTCACTGTATATGATAGTGAAAAAGTACATATATGTATCAAACTCTCCTGTCTCTTGTGTGTGTGTATTTGGTCTAAAACACTTTGACAGGACTACTTTATTTGTTCTTTCATTCATTCACTTAATAACCTTTAGCAAGGACATTCCTACTTAACCAACATTCATTGTCTGTTGCTAGAACTCACACATTCAGTCAATGACAGATCTCCAGGGGAATATGCTTTTTTTTCTCCCCTCCCTTCTACGGGAGGATAAAGCAGTAAAATTATAAGACAATAAGAAAGGCTGAGTAAGAGTACTTTATAGGTAAAGATGGAAAAATGCTATATTATGTTACTAAAAATTACAAATTAAGTATCTAAGAACTGACTTTAATTATCCAGTGTTTAAAAGAATCAAGGGAAAGCAATGAGAGTTTTAATATATTTGGCCTCTTTTTTTCACTAGTCCTTTTTGTGGTGCCTAAGGAAGTAAGAATTTATAGGGAAAATTCTGATTATAGTAACAACAGGTTTCTTATGTGTATTAAGATACTATAAAAATAGTTTTTACATCTCTAAAGCAGCTAAATGTTATAATCATAGCAAACGGCCCTATTTCAGAATTGAAAAAGGTCAGGATACTCAGTTATAAGTTATTGTACTGTTAGTCAGTTGCAAATGGATGCTCCAGAGATGACTCATATCTAAAATGCAATGCAAAATAAAACAGATGATTTTATAGAGACATTTCGTTTTTAAGAACTAGACTAACCAGAAGTCCCTGGTGGTGCAAAAAAAAAAAAAAAAAAAAAAATCAATACACTTAGCTGCTAACTAAGAAGTTAGAGCTTCAAATCCACTCAGAGGAGCCTCGGAAGAAAAGCCTGGAAGTCTACTTCTAAAAACTTGCCACTGAACCCTTATAGTTCTACTCTTGACACAGGTTGCCATAATCAGAGAGGAATTGGTGGCGTCTATTTATCTTTAAGACAAATAAAAATAGAAGACAAAATGGTAAGAAACAAAGATCAGAACTTTTCTTTTGTAATAGTGAAAGTCACAACATTCTTACCCTGGGACCCAACCAGTAGCTTCTGCTATGTGTGTCTGAGTAACCATTGCTGGTGCCGGGGTATACGGACTCCCAATCAGAACACTTCCCGAGCTGGGTAGTCTCTGTGGTGTGCTTATAATCTGTAATGGGAAGAATAAACAAAAGTATGTTCCTGGATATTACAGAAAGGCTAAAGGCAGAAAATAATGTTGATCATTACCATGCACACAAGGAGGAAGGCTTGCTGCTTAAAATGTACTTACTATCCATCATGTGAAGTACAAGCTATACTTGCATTCTAGGACCTTGGATGTCACACTGTAATGCGGACATCTAAGTGACATCATACTGCAGGTTTCAGCAAGTAGAGAGCAATTTGAAAGGATTAAGCTGGCAATTGGCAATGCTTTAAAAACCAAGAATAAAAAGCTTTCTTTGAAATTACAGAATCTAAAGGCAGTAGATCATGACTTAACTAGAACAAGTGAAACGGGGTAACAGTTTCCCAACCCCTGTATATATAGCATGCATCTCAATCTTCCCATTTGCATTTGAGAAGCTCAGCAATAACCTCTGAATTATAAAACCCAGTCCTACTTAAAGTCCAATCAATATTTAGTTATTTATTTAAATATTTAAGAACTTCAGTTAGCTTCTGTTATTGTTTGGCATTATGGCAATTTGGGCATGAGTGAATGTTTTGACCTACAAATATTTAGGAAATTTTTAAATAATGCCACAGCTAATAAAGCATTCAGAAACTTGCCTCAGGAGAAAACATGATTGCTAGACAATGTGTTTGTACTTCCCATCAAATTCTGCCTGGCATTTTCAGTATGTTTGTACCTCCACCCCCAAAGCCCCTACTTCAGTGCAAGATATTTAAGGATAGAGAACATGCCTTACTGAATTATCCATCTGCAAAGCCTAACACAGTATTGTTAGTGTTGTTAATGCCTTCTAGTCAACACAGAGACCCTGTGTAAGGTTTCTGAGGAGTGGCTAGTGAGCTTGAACCACTGACCCTGTGGTTCAAACCAACCTTGTAGACCAGTGCATTAACCCACATAGTATTAGGAAACATCCATACAAAAGGCATGATAAATATTTACTGAACTCAGACAGAAGACCCTACTTTTAAAATAATGAAATGAAGTAGTTTCTTTGTTTACTATATGCTAAAGGGATATAAAATTGAGTTGGAAAATATAATACAAGGAGTAGAGTTCTCAATAATCACTACAACACACAACCAATCATTCTCTTGTTATGCTGATCTTGGGTACAGACAGATTAAGAAACAAAAATTTTGTCGGTCTACTCTATTCTAGAACAGGATTCTCCAAAAAGCAATCTGAAGATTTCTAACTTAACCCTCAAAACACACTGCACTGCCTGTACAATATTATTAGGAATTCTTTTATTATATTTGCTTGTTATTAATAGCCTATAAGACTCATAATTTTTTTCCTGACTTATCAAGTTAAAAAAAAAAAAAAAAAGAAAGCACAAGGAGGTGAAACAAACTACAAAAAATTTGGCTATGTTTATTGAGAACGACTGAAAATGAACTGCTATGTTCTAATTGCAAGGTGGGCAATTCAAACTCAGCAGCTGCACCTTGGAAACCCTACACAAGGGTCGATATGAGTTGGAACCAACTTGATGGCATTTAATAATAACAGTGTCAGCTTATTTTGTTTCTCAACACCAGAATTATTAGTTGATACTGCTTACTGCTCTGCAAGTTATTATCTCTAGCAACACAATGAATCTTTCTTCTAACACAGGGTCCAATACATTGTTGTTGCTGTTAAGTGCCGTCGAGTCAATCCTGACCCATAGCAACCCTGTTAGGTTTTCCGAGGAGCAGCTGGTGAACTGACATGCAGTTCAAAGTGACTCTGCAGTCCAGGGCATTAACCCACGGTGCCACACCAGGACTCCCAAATACATAGTAGGCCCTTAATAAACATTTCCTGAATGACAGATTGGAAGGATGATAGAATTGAATTAGCCCTGGTGTGGCGTTCTAAGATAAGCACTGGACTGCTTACCCCAAGGATGACATTCATTTTAAACCCAGCAGCCACTCCTAGGAAAACCTGTACTGGGTCTCTATGAGTTGGAACCAACTCAATGGCATACTAACAAGAACAAACAACAAGACCTGAATTGAAAGAACAAGTCAGAAGTACAATGAGCCGGAAGAGATGAAACCAAAATCAAATTGATGAATTTGATCAACCAGAGAGTTTAGAAAATTTGTTTACACAGGTAATTATTTTTTTGAATCTTAATTTTGAAATCCCCAACTAAAACTAGAGGTGAAAACATATTTCTAATACTCAGTTGATCTGAGCAGTTACTTTGCATTTCAGAATCTCCTCAAAAGGGAAAGGCATTTAAATTGCACTGAAATCATATGGATTCTCTGACAATAGCCAACAGTTAGGTTCTTAGTATCTTAGAGCAATTGAACCTCATTCTGGAGATTTTCCTATCTCTCCATCAAAATGCCTTATGTACTACTGCCATCTAGAGTAATAAAAGCCAAAAGCATATGTATTCTGAGGGGAAAAATAATCTACATAACTATATAAAGTTCAAAATTTAAATATATCCTTTGACATTTTATTTTAAGAAACAATTTTGACATGTTTCATTTTAAGAAACAAAAGGGGGCTTCAAAAAATTTGTGGGGAAATGTAATTAAAATATAAGGGAATTTTTCCAAAGACTCAAATACTTTTCAACCTTTGAAATACAATAGTAATGACACAAAGTAGAATTACAATCCAGTATAGAAGTCCTGGTGTGGCGCTGTGGGCTAATGCATCAGACTGCAAAGTCATTTGAACTGCAAGGTCAGTGGTTCAAGCTCACCAGGGTTGCTAGGGGCCAGAATCGACTTGACAGCACTTAACAACAACAAATAGGCTAGAAGTTCATCTATTGACTCAGATGCTAAAAGAGGAATTTTTAACTTTCTTTTAAATCTCTGAGAATCTAAAAGCAGAAACAACCAACTATTCACTCGTTTCTCCAGTGGGAAAATACAAACCCTTGAAAACCTTATTAGGTCCAAAAACTACAGATTTACACAAAGGAGTTTAAAAAAGTTTGGGGAACTTTGTTCATTCCATATTCTGGTTATTAATGTTTTCAGCTATTTCTCCTCATTTAGAGTTGTGCCGCATCAGCAAATGAAGGTCCACAAAGATTTGCTCCATTCACGTATTATGATCAACTCTACTTCGAGGAGGTAAGCTTTTCCCCTGTTACATTTTGAGTGTTTTCTAACCTGAGTAGCTTGTCTTCAGGCACTGTATCTGACAATGTTCTGCTGCTATTAATGATATTTTAACCTTTGGCACTATATCTGACAATGTTGTTGCTATTCAGTTTTCAGTGGAAAAACATTAAAAATTAGTTTGCCTCTCAAAAAAAAAAATT